ACGCTCAGAATACGCCACTAAAACTTCCAACTGTCTGAACAAAAATCGCGTTATAGGCGCCCAGAGAAGACTGGAGATAGGAGTATTGCTGGCCGACAAGTGCACACAGTAGATGCCCGAACTAAGGGAGTGGATTCCGGCAAGGAGACTGAATCGAATAAATAATCGAAGGCTCTTTGGAGGATGGGTACTATAGCCTCTGAGATCGGTTTGTCGTCATTAGGACCTGTTCGATCCACCAACACACGAGATGCTATTTTCAGCTTTGTGCGAACATAACAGGTAGGAATAAATGGATTTCAAGTAGTGTAAAGGCCTAGGTAGCCTGAGTAAATATCCACAGATGAACTGAAAATGTTTTAAACTATTTTGGACGTAGTTTCAAACAGGAAATTTTTGTCAGGCAGCTATTCACTATGAACCAGAGCACCTTTAACAGTCAAAAAAATCATCGACGCAGACTATTGTGCAGTGTACAAGTACTTCCTTATTTCGAGTAACCAACTTGAATGTAAGTCTGAATGTCCGACATCTGACAGTCCGAAGTATCTGCCGACGATTAACTATGTAACTAAAACGGGTTACTAAAATGGAAATCAGCCACAGCGAAGAAAACAAGATCGCCAGAAGGGACTTCAAACGATCATCCAACGAAAAGGTCCACTTTGTGAGCCACAGATAGAAAGCATCGGTGGAGTCGCACTCCACAGCTCTTTTGGTAGAGCGTCTGATGCGAATTCTGGGTTTAATCGTTCAACTTATTTCGGGGGCAATAGGCTCCTGCTATTATGAGTTTCCCTCTATCAATGCTAATCCCAATAACACGGTTTCTAGTAATTTCCCTAGGGTCCGAGCCAGGTGTGATGATACGCTTAGAGGCGGCTCCGGTCGCGCCAATCAGCTGTGCCTTCTTCCGTCTCCGGTCATTTTGACTTGGTGATGACACCGGGTCCATGTAGGGGGAGGAAGAAAGAGCATCAGATGTGGGGCAGATCTACTCTCTGCAAAAGCTGATTTACGCACACTAAGCCGCGAAGGCTGCTGTAAAGCATGCGGCAGACATAGTCGAAACCGAAGGTCAAACTATTATCTTTTAGTAGTAAGTGAATCACCGAGGTGAATGTAGCTGTTAAGCAACACATCAAACACCATCTCATTGGATAGTTTGTATAGCTTGTGAGTGCAAGAAATGCAGGACGGGGGAAAATATTTCGCAGCCTCCACGGCTTAACTTGGCTTTGCCACCGGGGTATGTTAGGAATTTGGGAGAGGACGGGGAGGTGGTTACCGCACTAACCCTCCACTTACATACAAGTCGACACTGTCCATGGAGATAGTAATGATTCAATTCGACCAGGATGGATGAACAACCGGATATACTGGTGGTTACTTCGAACTTATATACCTCTTTTAGACGTAAACACATCAAAATACGAACTTTTAATTAATATAAAGCACCTCATTTTTAACGTAAAAAATAAAAGGCAAAATGGCATTCCTTGGCCCTGCACTAGCAGGTTGTGGCGTTAAAGTGTATAAGAAATTAACAACAGCAAAACATGGTTTTAAGGAACTAACTGTATTTACCGGTCGGTCTCACATTTGTGATTTTCCATCCTGCTATCGTAGACCAGGCATACCCTATACGACAAAATAGACAGTGGAGTTTTTTTTTAGTGAGAACACGAACTAATCAATCCTAAACGTCAGATCTTTAGTGGATGACTACGGAGTGCCGTAAAATTAACTTAACTTGGGAATGTTATTCTAGTCAGTAATGAATCACTGAAATGTCCGAAATCTAGGTTCAGAAAGTCTCTAAGAAATTCAAAACGAAGAACGCAGAATAGAGCAGGAATTTCGTTATGGTATATTACAATTCGTGGATCTAAACATTATGAGTTTGACAGTACGAAATTCACGGTTGACAGTTTGCACAGCTCGGACCTAAATGGTTCTGAATAACAGCTACAGCGTAGGAGGGAAAACGAGCGGATGCTGAGTCAGAGAGACTTAAGAGGGCCATATAAGCTTGGTCAACAAGTCAAAATATCATCAGTATAGAAGGAAGGTGGCTCAAATACTATAAAATGTAAGGAGATTTGGGCAGAAAAAATGGGTTACTCCGGATGAGAGGTAATACAAAAATATACTACTAATACGATCACTATCAGGGCGCCACCGCCGCCGCGACCACTACGAAAATTTGTCAAGGTGGGATTGTGATGTTATAAGAGACCGCCAACATGAAACGCCAGTAACGCCGTACACGGCATAAGGATACCGTACCTGTTTGAAGTATCGATGTTGAAGGAGATGTGCACCTGCCGCAGCTCCATGATCTTGGCTGTTGCAATCGCCAATTCTTCAGCGCTGAGGCCGAACTCCTCTACTCCTGTAAATGGCACCATCACTTGCTTCCTAGAGACATGAAAGCGGAAAGTCAGAAGAAAAACGCGAAAAAAGGGGACAAAGCAAAAAAGATAGTATTACCAGCTGTTTGTGCTGAGGTTGGATATATCCTTTAAGGGGACAGCGTTGTTGATTGGGAATAAACTGAGACATTTCCAACGAGTCCGTAACACCGAAACACAGTTCCGTATGGCGGTTACTGTGCTAATTTAAAAAAACACAGTGATAAAATTTAACCAAAAATGGCAAGTGATCGAACAAAGACATGACTTGGCAGACGAGGTGCCTCAAGCGTATGATGAGAACACAGTTCTACAAAGCTCGTAAAAAAGCACTCAAGCTTTGCGAATAGTGAAAATGAATGAGAAGGTGCCTTAAAAGTAAACGAGTATTACTGCCATTGGTTTCGCCCTCGATGTTATTGTTTTCTTACGCAACGTCGGACGCAAAACAGCAAAACGACTACCGGCAAGAAAGGACGACAAAGGTTGATAAGGCGTTTTTCAGTGTTTGTAGACTGGCCTTAGATATGTGATCACGAGCCTCGGCAAGCATCTAATGTCCGGAGAATCAGAACCTTCTTTAATATAATCAGCAAGACAGCAAAATGTGTCCTCCTCAGGAATACATTGACCGCATACCCTTGGGTTGGAAAGCCATTCACTGCTGTCACACTTCTTTTGGCGCACACTTGCGACAAAACGCTCCGTTTCGCACGCGAAAAGTACCATCTAAGTTTAGTGATAGTCGTGGAAAGTTCTGCGTGCAATAGGTCTAGAGTAAAGGCAAGTTGTGGGGCATTAACCTCGTTCTCATGCAACACCCAACCAATATCGAGATAACTAGAAATGAATGTGGTCGCTGTGACTGATGAGGCCGAATTCGTGTTTTTTCACGTTATCTATATCATTAGAGAGGGAGCACCCGTTTGAAGGAATACAAACTTTGATGCACCAAACTAAGTGCACCACGATAGTTAAAAACATAGTGCATTGTTTACATCTGAGGAGTATATTTCGTCTACCGCCCTCCCCTCCCCCCTTAATACCGGTGATCAGTCTAAGTAAAGTAAACTGGGAATGAGATTGCACACACTGACTAAAGTGGCGAAACGTTGTTGTTAGGAGTACCAACAGTAAACAGTAATATTTCTGAATTATTGGTTCTATATTACCATACAACCGCCTACGAGGGCATCAAGTCGCAGCTCCGAAAAAATGTCCGTTCCGAAATCATTGCGGTAACGTCTTCAGCAAAATTACGTAAAATAATACTTTACTGTGATTGAATAACAGATTCGAAATCTCAATATTGATCGATCTACGTGAGTTACTAATGCTGCTTCCATGCGACAAGAAAGGAAACATTTTGGAGGAAAATTGAACTAAGCAAGCAAAATCGTCCTAGTTATACGCAGACAACTAGGTCTTTACGGCAAGGGATGTTTGGAACACTTCAAGTCTAAAAAAGACGATAACGATTGGCAGAGAAGACACACTAATTATTTGACCTAGAGTAAGAGGTGGAATACCTAATAAGACAATGACTCTGACTGGAGTGGAGTGGAGCCAGGATCAGAGAATTTGAGTGGGGCAGAAACACAGGATTTCGTAAAAATGCGCAAAATTACCCTGGCTTAACCGGAGCGACGGGTTCTAAGGACGGGAGAGGATCTCCCAACAAATTCGCAACTGTATTCGCGACACTGTCACCCAGGGATTCGTTATTGTAGCCACCCTAGATAACATTACATTAAAACCGAAAAAGTCAGCATGTGTAAAGGTCTTCATCAATCTCGCTGTCGACAAAGGGCAGTTAATTGCATTTATAAGACCTGAAAATAGCATGTTACAAGGTTAGTGGGAACCCTAACTACATGGATACCTTTAAATTCTACGGACAGAGGCGGCTTTACCAAATGCACAAAAACCGCACACTAGTAGAGTTCGCACGTGGTAAGAAGGGAACCATAGCAGACGCGTCTTCGACCGCGTTCCCACCCGCCCTCACGGCGGCCAAGGTCTGCTACACCAAACGTCATATGATGGATCTATCTCCCCTCTTCTACATCTCTGTTTTTGAAGACGGAGCAGCCCCTCCCAACCACGCTGCTCCGACTTCCCCTCCTCGCCAACCCGGCGGGCTCCTGATCCAACATGGGCTACTAGCCAGCCAGCCAGCACGTGGTAGGAAAGAAAGAAA